ACGTAGATCGGAAGTGCTTGGACAGCTGCAATGTCCTGCTGCACTTAGAGCTGCACATCAGTCTGTTCACTTTCTGTCTGTCTGTGTGTCAGTGTCCTTCCAGTGTCAGGTGAAGCTGCTCTGCCTGCTGTCCACAGTGCTGATAGTGAAGAGTCTGGTGTTCTGCTGTGGACTCTCTCTGCTGATGATCCTCACAAACAAGGGACCGTCCACCAACTGAACACATGCTGACTGACTGTTTGCTGCTGGCCTTTTGTCACCATCACATCTCATCAATACATCTCCTTCATGTCTTTAATTCGTGATCAGAAATATCAGCTGTGACGTCTTGTGCTTGCTTCTAATATACTTCCCTGAACTCACATGTTTGATCGTCATCCTACAAGTGCAAATGCATATATTCACATATATATTTTCAGTTCTGGAGTTTAAATTCTGCAGGACCGTGTTGTTTTAATATTTGAGTCTTTTGTTTCTTTATGAAGTATTATGTGGAGTGAAACAGGTTCATCAATAAAAACTATAAAATTACAATCTTTTAATAGATTTTCTAGCAATTGATCACAAATGTCAATTCTGATGTTGTGTGTTTGGTTGTAATGTGGAGTTAAACACAGGAGTAAATTTATTATTTTAATTTTTTTAACTTTATTCTGCTTTTTACATTTTAATTTTGACATAGACCAAATTCAGCTGAATCATTTGCTGGCTTGTACATATTTCAGCATTAAACATCACAGTTATTTCTCCTTGTTTTTCCCTTCAATATATATATATATACTCAAAGTGTTGAAGACTATTGAAGAAATTCTGCAGGACCGTGTTATTTTAATATTTGAGTCTTTTTTTTCTTTATGAAGCATTATGTGGAGTGAAACAGGTTTATCAATAAAAACTATAAAATTACAATCTTTGTGTTTGATTATTTAAAAAAAGCTTTTAATAGATTTTATAGCAATTGATCACAAATGTCAGTTCTGATGTGTGTTTGTAATGTGGAGGTACAGGAGTAAAAAGGTTTTTTTTATTTTTTAACTTAACTCTGCATTTTAATTGTGACATAGACCAAATTCAGATGAATCATTTGGTGGCTTGTACATATTTCAGCATTAAACATCACAGTTATTTCTTCTTGTTTTTCCCTTTAATATATATACTCAAAGTGTTGAAGACTATTCACATTTATTTAGTGCAGCATTTTCAATAAACTGGAGATAACATTGTTGTCTAGCTGTGTTATGTTGATCCCCAATATTAATCTGACTGTGGTTTGAAGTTACTCATTTTTACAGATAAAAGTATTGGTACACAATTGAACAGGGACATGAGCTAAACCATTTGAAGTAACGATGAACACAGGGGTTTTCTATGTGAACAAACACGTGGATAAACGACCAGGTTCAGCTCTGTGTCCTCTGATCACTCACTTTGTGTATTAATCATCTTTTATAACTGTGTCAGTGTGGATGTAAAACTCTATGCTGATGACACTGTTGTTTACACACATGAAGAGTGGAAACTGTAATGTCCATCTTTAATCACATAAACCTGTAAAAACTCCAAGATGTGAGCACGACATGAGCTTCAGGTGGTGATTGGACTCAGTTTAACTCTGTGTAGGTGGAGGTCTGAGTGGAAACAAGGCTGACAGAAAACAAGCAAAGAAAGAACACAAACCACAGAAAAGGAGGCAGCTGATGAGTGTTCACAGCAGAAGATATGAATCTGTTCTCAGGGTTTTCAGAGTGTTCATAGCTAATCAAACTTCTTTTCCTGTGTGGGTTTCTGCTCTGCGACACTGTTCGCTGTGGCTTTTCACCTTAATAACACAGCAACAGTTACAACTATTGACTGGGTTGCAAGAATCATTGCAGGAAGCATCTGTGTTCTTCATCTGTGAGAGAAACAGGTCAAATCCTTAAGTCAGAGCTGCAAATTCACTCTGATGGTGTAAATACAAGAATAATGACAAACTGGCTGCACAAAATCTGTTGATGCCGATTAAAAATGAATAAATGATGGGGGAAAAAAACACAGATTGAAGAAGCAATAAAACCACAGAATAATAATTTAATACTTACACGAAGGGATGTAATATTAATCAAAAAAGAACCAATAATCACAAGTAAACTTATAACAATATAGAGTTAATAGATAACAGTTTTCATTATTATGTTTTTATATGATTAAAAACGCAATAAAAAAGAGAATAAAAATAGAAAACAAGAATAAAGTTTCATGGGGCTTTAGCTATTTAGAATAAAATCAACACAACCAACATTTTTTCATTATTCAAACCTCAGCTGTGACAGATCAAACTGCTGAAACGTCAGACTTCAGTTCTTTTTCATAATTCCACTCATCCATGATCAGTGATTATTTATCCTACTTGTCCGATACAGCAGATTCTGAATCAATGACATTATGAAAAATAACAGTGAGAATTTCAGGCTCTTGTTGTTTTAGTTCCTGAGGTATTTTCATTCAACCAGCCTCTAATGTCAACGTGCAAAAAGCTGCTTAAAGTGTGTCAACAGGCAATTTTTAAAAATTTCAAATCTCTAAAATTATTTGATATATCAATCGAAAATTTCACAAACATCGTTTTAAATATCCATATGTCATGCTAGAAAAAATTATCATAAATAATAATGAAGCACAACATGTCACAACTGAAATTTCTGATCACTGATCAAAGGGATCAATAAGATGTATTGGTGAGATGTGATGGTGAGAAAAGACCAGCAGCA